TCTCCCAGGACTTCCACAGCCCTGCAGGGCATCGTGGTCTTTCACAAACTGGGGTCAGAAGTTCAGCCCACTGGGACACAAGCTGCAAGCATGGAATAAAAAGAGCCAGCTTAAAGAAAAACATTTTAAAGGCTGTAATCAGAACAGAGACAACACAGCATAACATAACATTAGAAAAAGTTGTATCTGAGAAGCCTTAACTTCAATTCAATTCAGTTCAAGTTATGCTTATTTGTTATATGCAGGTTAACACAAGGTTAACAGTACAATAAAATATTTAGGATGAGAAGAACTGATTTGACTCGCTAAAACACAAAACGAACAAACAAGAAATACTAAAGCATTCAATAAGGGTACAAAATAATGTATCAAAAAGTGAAAAAGTAAATACAATATTTACAATGTCCTAAAAAGAGATAGTAAACAACAACATTGTAGAATATAACGAGCAGGTAGATTTAATTTGTATGAATAATTATTTCAAGGTAGTGAGTGATATAAGTTTAATTACACATGATAATCGCACATACATAAACTAGACAGGTTGTGTGACAGATTATTGCAGGTAGTGAGTAACATTGAGATGAATTATGGTAAGGTAGTGTCATACATGATACAGCCACATTGTGCAGCAGCAATAAACATATTAGCTGTCACAAGCTAATATTCATGTTAGGTGTCACAGTCAGAGTCAGTCAGAGTCAGAGTTTCTTTATTGTCATTCGCACCTCATGTGGTACATGTGGTGGAGTGAAATTATGTACACAGGGTCCCAGTTACATCCAACAATAAAATGTATAAGAAAAACAGTAATAACATCTAAGATATGAACTAAGAAAAACATCAACTAAATATACACTAAGCACTCATAACATAAAAACATTGAACATCAGCACAAACATGAACATGAGTCTGTGAACAGATGTGCACACATAAACACATCAACATTGAAACAGATCAGCAGCAACATGAAACAGATCAGCAGCAACATGATATGGTTTTTCACAGTGATTGTTCTAGTTAGAGATTCATGAGTCTAACAGCCTCAGGGTAGAAGCTGTTCCTCAGTCTAGTGGTTCTACACTTAATGCTCCTTAACCTCCTTTCTGAGGGGAGTGGGGCAAAAAGTGTGTGTGCTGGGTGAGCGGGGTCCTTCATGATGCAGGTGGCCCTCTTCCTGCATCTGGAGGTGTAGATGTCTGTGATGGTGGGGAGGCTGACTCCAACAGATTTCTGTGCAGCCTTCACCACTCTCTGCAAAGCTTTTA